TATATACATACCATGTACATTTTTCGTTTTCTTTCAAACCGAAATGCGTGCCCTCAATATAATTATAAATAGATTTCCAGAAAGCACAATTCCAAATTGTCCCTAAGAAAGCACTACTAGTAATAATAATTATTTCAATTTCTTTTTTCTAATTTAATTCTTTTTGTTAATTTAATACATTTTTGTTGCTTACTTTCATTATTAATCCAACTGGTTGGTTTGTTAATAGACATCATTATTATTATTTAAGTTATTTGTCAGATCTCTGTTAATGCTAGTTAATAGGTACATATTTATTTTTTAAAGGCCTTGCGCATCCGCCTTGTTCGCTATTTAGTTCATTTAGTGGATAAAACTTATTGTAAAATCGAAATCCGGGACACATTTTTACATTTATATCTTATGGCAAATCTGCAAACTAATTACATTTACGCAATTATGGTAAATGTAACCCAATCTAGACTAGACGGTAGCACCGGCAGGCCACAAGTTATACTGACAATTAAAAGGGATTTAAATACATGATGCGTATTATGAGTTCAATTTGCATTTACTGAATTTACCTAAATAATTTTTAAAACCAGAGATAGAACAAGGCTAGCAGTGGCAAGGAGGCATGTATAGTACAAATATAGATGCTAAATCCACTATAAAAAAAATGTCTTTTCATCCAATTCGAAAAGAATGGGAATGTTTACACGCTAACCTGCACTTTGCGCGAATTTCTTTCGAAATAGCAATAGCAAAAATTTAAAAAGATCTCGGCATATTTCAACAAAACACTGCCCAAAAAGTACCACATCTATACGGGGACCGTCGAACTGATAACCTGTCAGCGGCCATGTTGGTTGTTGAATGCAGCAATGAACCTTTTCAAAAATGTTTTCATAATTGCTTCAGAAGTCCCTGTATTATCAAAGTAGGCAAAACCTATATCTCTACTACCTATACGGTTGAAAACCAGATTTGAAATGGCGGATCCTGCGCCATGTTTTTTCTTAATGGTGACTTTAATAGTATATTATAGCATATTATCTATAGTATATTATGCAACGAGTGAATTAAAAAGTTTACCGAACGTGTTGCATACTATACTTTTTCTACGACCGTTAGTTTTTGGGTATATTTTCGCAAAACGCGAATACATTTACTGACATGACTGTCAGAATTTACAAACGTCAAAATTTAAAGCGTGGGAAATATCTCCGAAAACGTCCGATTGCTCCCAAACCCGTGCGGTAAAATCCCGGAAATGTACGAAGTGGCTCGGATTCGTGGGAAACGAAACTGACATGGTAAAGCGACGCGTCCCGCACGCTAGATGGGTGCGTAATTAGGTATTTTACAAACGGGAGTAGAAAAAAATGTAAATATAACTTTATGAGCGACTAGATATCATATAGGAAAAATCTAAATGGAAAATATGTTTAAGAAACAACTGTAGAACCGGCTATAGACAGAACACTTACTCCTTCATTGAAAGCCTAGTAATTGCAAATGCAAGTTTCGCCTCCCAAATAAATGCCAGAAAGTGCCAATAGGCAATTTTTTTTTAAATAAATCTAAAAGATTCGTTACGTTAGAGAGCAAAACTACAACAGGTACATATTTACATAATACTAATAGCAATTTTTAAATTGTATTTTGTGCCTAAGCATTCCTTAACGTGTGTTGGGCTAAATTACTTTGATCATTCGCCCATTACCGACTTCGGTAGAGTCAGCTTAGAATTCAATACATGATCTGTTTAACCTTAATATTCAAATTTTAAAAATACCTCTCGTGGTAATCGGCATTTCGCATGTGGCTTCCGTCGTAGTGTGTTGATTGGTTATCTCATATTGGTTAGCTCAAATTCATTTAGAAACATGACGAAAGTTCCATTCAAAGTTGGTAAGTAATGATTAATACAAAATTTCTACAAATCTGAAGCGATTGTTTATTTTAGCCGATCTTAAATTGGCAGAATGGGGCCGCAAAGATATCGAGTTATCCGAAAACGAAATGCCTGGTCTTATGGCCCTTCGTCGTAAATATGCTCAAAGCAAACCCCTTAAAGGCGCCAGGATTGCGGGATGCCTCCACATGACTATTCAAGCTGCAGTTTTAATTGAAACTCTTATTGAACTAGGAGCTGAGGTATAGTTTGATGTTTAATTTTAAGTTTTTGCGCTTTTATTTCATCATCAGAATATGAATATACCAATAAACCTTGAATTTAATCAAAATCTGAAGTCTAAGAATATGGTATAAGATTTAAGTCCGTCATTATTTTAGCGACAATTTTAAAACCTCTTAACTTATAATTATGTTGTTAACAATATGAATATTTTGTTAAAAAGGTTTTTTGTTTTTTACGTAAAAATCCAATAATTGTTTTTGAATTGTGAAACAATTATCGTTTTCAGATAACCTTCAATATGTTGTTATTTTAAAAGCTTTGGGAACAACAAAAGACTTAAAATTATTTTTGGAATACCTCTTAACACAATTCTATTGTTATGTATATTTATTTCTCTTTAGTTATACCTCTTGGACGTTTTTAAAAAGAAATAGTTTCATGGTAAAATTTTAGAACCTCCTTTCAAACTCAAATGTTTCATCATAATTTATTATCTCCATTTAGATCATATGGAAATTATTTTTATAATTCATTTTTTTCTTTAATGGTTTATTATATTATTATTATTTATATTTGGCAGTGTTAGTAATGATACAAAAAGAAATCAAAAACATGTTTAAAAATTCTCCAATAGAAGGTAGAACCAAAAACATATCTACAAAGTAGAAAAAATGCTTTAAGTATTGCTTTGTTAGTGTTAAAATTTCAGCAATCATTTATGCTAAATGCGGGGTTTTGTCATATTCCCCTCATGTTCAGGTCCAATGGGCAAGTTCCAACATATTCAGCACCCAGGATCATGCAGCTGCCGCTTTAGCTAAGAGAGGGATTGCTATATATGCTTGGAAAGGAGAAACAGATGAAGAATTCATATGGTGCATTGAACAAACCTTAGTTTTTCCAAATGGAAAACCTTTGAACATGATTTTGGATGATGGTGGTGATCTCACTAACTTAGTTCACGATAAGTATCCACAATATTTGAAAGATATTAAGGGCCTAAGTGAAGAAACTACTACAGGTGTGCACAACTTGTATAAAATGCTTAGGGAAAAAAGGCTTAAAGTGCCCGCCATTAACGTCAATGATTCTGTAACAAAGGTAAATATCCTGTTTTACAGAAAAACTGTAAAATTTTGTACTTATCCAGTTGCTTCATTTTCAATACTTTGAAATTGAATTTGGAGGTCTAAATCTACCTTGTTTTTTCTCTAATTCAATTTCTTATGGGAACCTAGTATTATTGTACACCCTTATTGACAGAGTAAGTTTGACAACCTTTATGGCTGCCGGGAATCTCTGATAGATGGCATAAAAAGGGCAACGGATGTCATGCTTGCCGGCAAAGTATGTGTAGTTGCTGGCTACGGAGATGTGGGTAAAGGTTGCGCTCAATCATTGAGGGCTTTGGGTGGAAGAGTCATTATCACGGAAGTTGATCCAATTATTGCCCTTCAAGCTGCTATGGAAGGTAAGTCAGTTTATATAAAAGCGCCTAGGATACAACAAACAAAGAATTGATATTAATTATTAATGTTCTCAAGATAATTGATACTGCCTCTATTAAATTATCTTTTGTGATTACAAAGACAAGGAAACCTTCTCCACTGTTCAGTGGCACTTCTTGACTCTGATAAGCATACAGGCCATAGAATTAATTTTATCTCTACCTTTTAGAGGTGGAGAATAAGGGGTGCTGTTTTAGTTACTATTCAGTATTGCCATTAAGCAAGGCTTATTATACCCGTAGTAGGTTTCAGTACTGTTGCTCCCCATTTCACAGAAATGTTATTTGTTTCTAACCAAACGAAAAAGAAAAAATGTTTTACCTCTTATAGCTGATTAATAAATGCAAACGAACCATTTTGTGCAAAAAAATTGTGTTAAAAATTTTTGGGCAAGACTTTAGTTTTCATAGAGAGGAAGACTGACTCAGGTTTTCCACTCATTTGTACAATATCCTATTTTTTGGGGACAGACATGAGTCAGTAATTTGTACTTAAATAATTTTTTTTAATTTTTAATGTCCCTAAACCTTTCAAATCAAGAAAGCTCTGTAATATAGAGTGAATAGTTACAATTTTAGCATTTTCCCTAACTGGTGATATACATTAAAATACTACTTTAGGTTATGAAGTGACAACGATGGAAGACGCAAGCAAAAGGGGTCAAATATTCGTCACCACTACTGGTAATATAGATATCATCAAAGGGGAGCATTTGGCCAACATGAGAGATGATAGTATCGTATGCAACATTGGACATTTTGATTGCGAGGTCGACGTGAAATGGTTAGAAAAAAACGCAAAATCCAAAGTAAACATTAAGCCACAAGTGGACAGATACGAACTCCAAAACGGCAATCACATCATTCTCTTGGCAGAAGGTCGTTTAGTAAATTTGGGATGCGCCACTGGCCATTCTTCCTTCGTGATGTCAAACTCGTTTACCAACCAAGCTTTAGCGCAAATTGAGTTGTGGACAAAGCCAAACGAATACGCCGTTGGGGTGCACACTTTGAGCAAGTTGCTTGACGAAGAAGTGGCCAGATTGCATCTGGACCATTTGGGTGTGAAACTGACTAAATTGTCACCTGAACAGGCCAAATATATTGGTGTGTCGGTTGATGGGCCTTTCAAACCGGACCACTACAGGTACTAGACCGTCATATCCATCTTTTTCTAGAATCATTAAAAGCAAGCATAAATCTTGTACATCAATGTGTCAGTGGTAATAAATATCTCTGCTATGGGTTTTAAGCTGTGAAGTAAAATAAATTGAATTACAAAAGTTTTGTTACGAGATTTTTTTTACTTGAATTGTTTCTCACCACTGTTAATTTTTCAGATCTTTTTTGAACAAAAACATATGCTTGGATTTCAAATATTATAATTTCCAACTATTGGACAATAAGTCTATTATAACAATAACAGTGTCAAAAATTACATATAGTGTGACATATAAAGAGGTGATACGATTTCGTGAAACGGTCGGGATTCTTTTGACTAGTCTGACGATGGCGCATCCAATCCAAAAAAGACACCTACTACTTCAACTGCAAATCTTGATTACCACATATGAGTCTCTCGGATTTCGCTTATAATATGTGACGCTCTCTGCAACGCCTAAAAAACATTTTTTCTGTTGAAAGCTAATTTCAAAGCGATAAGATTTTAATCCTGATTGATACTCGCAAAAATTACCTTTAACATGTCCGCGGCCTCCTTTCTTCTCTGAGCAATATGCTCAGATTCATCCAACAACTGGTCGGCGTTATCTGATTTATATAAATGAGTAACCAATTCCGATTGCAAGTTGTCCTTAACGAAATTGACTAGAAAATGCATTATCGCCTTTGGAACAGTATCCTGGATTGATTTCCGAACAATATAGAAGTACGATTTAATCAAACGTTCTGAAATCATTGAACTACTGTTAAATCAACCATGGGCTTGGATACACTCGACACACCTATGATTTCACAGTCATGCTCCTCGTTTTCAGATAACTTCCGGAAACTATTACTATTTATAGGAACCTGCGGTAATAAATTAACCGGCTTGTCAGGACTCAGAACAGATCTGAGATCGGCTTCACCTCTGGCGTCGAGTATCGGACGATCGATATCGTTTTCTTTGGTTCCGTTTTGAACTGAAGTGAGGTTAGAGACCCAAGACGTTGCATCGTCGTTATTTAGTTGGGGATTACTGGACGATTTGGCCTAAAATTTATTGATTACCTATACGGAGTACTCAAGTTGCCTTGTTTAAGAAAAAAAGCATTCTCCATGATGTACGCACAAAAAAGGGTTTTAAGTTATAAATATACCTCTTTCCTTTTGCTTTCCGTTTTGAAAGACACGCGGGATGTGGGACCGTTTGTTATCTAAAAGGGGGCCATTTTAAAATATATCGTTACTGTTTTATCAAGTAACTTATCCAAAATGACGTGTTAATGCATAAAGCAACAAATCGTTATAAAAATGAGCACAATACCAAATGATTTCAAATAACCAGTCAAAGCATATCCTGCAGTTTACATAATATTTAAGTATCTAAGTACCAAAAATATATATATGCCTAATTAAATATTAATTGAACCTCATATCGCTCACTAAGTGCAATAGTGACACATCCACAAAATAATACTTCTCAAAAAATCCGTGATTTAGGAAAATGAAAACTGAAATATTCAGATAACTCAAATCAATTCTCCTCCGTATTACAAAATGTAGTGATATCCCTTTATAATTACATATTGATTTGTAATATTCTCTTTTAATTATTAATTATTCTCTAAATAGCTATTTTTTGATATGTGCACTCACTGAGCAATATTTCGAATATGTTGAACTGCTTTATGGCATTTACTAGGGACGCTTTCCTCGAAAAATAGTTTATTAGGTAAATCACAACATTCCATAAAGTGATGTTATAACCTGGACATTGACCACTTGAATATTCTCCCGCGAATGCATATCCACAGATAACAATATGCTAAAATTGGTGACGCTCATTTTTGTTATCGATTGATGAATTTGTTTATTATCAAAACCAAACAATTGAATATCGTAAATACCTCAACGACATTCACGAAGTCATAATAAGTAGATACGGGCAAGATATGAAAGAGATAATCGAAAAAATCTGCTTGATTTGTGGTCGAGGCCTTAATATTTTGAGCTCTCTACAGAGATAGAAAAAAAGAGATAAATATATACTATAATCTTATAAGAATATTCAAAATCTTTTGAGGCAAGTGGCTATTTATTCCATAGAATTTTTATTTAATATTTATCGATTGTAAGAGGTTGCAGCCTGTGGTGGGTAACTATTTATTTATTTATTTATTCACGGTTTAACCAATTTAATTAAGTTTTACAATCATTAAAAAGGTAGAGAGAAAGACAGCGGTATAACAGCTAGAACCAAACGAAAACAAAATATAACAATAATAATAAAGTTGTAGCTAACATTCTGCATAAGCACCACATAATCCTAACTAAACATCAAAATACTGTAATGGTCAACTGACCTCAAAAAATAGTGAATAAGCGCCACAATCGTTAAGGAAAGATCTGCGCACTTGCTTGTTGGTTTTCATTCATTATGTATAGAAATTCATTCAAATGAACTTACCAATTCCTGCGGTTCCTGAGCGTGTAGGGCAGCCATTTTCCCATACATACTTTTGGGTCTCCCAGGTCTGGATCCCTCTGATTTGATCATCGACGGAACCATGGCGATTTCTTTATAAAAATCCGGGTGTTTGGTGTTGATGTAAGCTAATTCTATGGCGACGAGGTTCTCCACCATATTATTGGTGGTGGGCAGCCTTCTCCTCAACAGGTGCGTGACCACGTCAACTATACTTTCATAGAGCTTTGGAAACCGGAGCATCTCCTGCTGAACCTCGCTGCCGCAGTGCTAAAAAGTGCAAAAACGAGGCTTAAGTGCATTACGTCGGGCGGGTGGATAACATACCATTAGGATGTCAAGTCCTAAAAATTGCTGCCCAGAAAATAACAAGTAAATGACTATAACAAATTACACAAGTGTGAGAAAATGGTTGTTAAATGACAACAAGTGTTTAGTTAAATTGCAGAATTTGATAGGTGCATTCAATAAAATAAAAATTCCAGTGTTTTTCCTTTGTTTCAATTTGAAACATAAGGATACTCTTCTATTTTTATTTAGTGAATCTCACGACATAATAGGGAGTTCACAAATGTCACTGATAACTAGACTTAAGAAAAAATTGAAATTGAGAATATAATCTACGGTATTCAAAGGGCTCGTGCAAAACTGGTCGCGACCTAGCAATATTTTCTAATACACCAACGCAAAATTAAAGATTAAGTTACCTGTATAATACGTTGCATTTCTTCATGGATTAGTTCAACACATCTCAAAGAAGGCTCTTCTAACCGCCTAATCTGTCTCTTGACTAGTAGTTCAAAAGACACCTCAGGCACAAAGAGTGCGGGGCGTGGCCCATTGGCATTCCTATAAAACATTACCTGAAGTACTACGTAAAATTATTTATATCAACCATAAGGTAATTTAGATTTAACAATAGTTTTAATAGTAATGTGTTGCAAGCCCAGCATGCACCTTACTACTTTCCATAAGTAAAGATACTTCAGAAAATTTACTATTTTATGAGAAAAAACATCTGGACCAAGATGATTAACAAATTAACATCATCCTATGCTTGATCAATATTACTGACAGTATTTCGAAAGACTACCCAGGAAATTACAAAAAATTTTTTCTCGTGCAGGTTTCAAGCTGCAACTGCACTGCAAGGCAGTAAGGAGACGACTGGCAAGGTTTGCACCTTGGCAACTGTACGAAAAAGAAAGAATGTTGAATGTTTAACAAAGATCAAATACAGGAAATGAAAAAAATTGTAAAATAATGTTCCAACTTACCTTATGGCTGTTAAAATATCCATTTTTGTTAATCCAGCAAGAGGATGTATTGAATCCAAAGTACGTCCAAAGGTTTCATGAAATATATAACATATTCTAGCACCACCACACAATTCAGTAGTTTCAATATTTCTAGCAGTGCCCTCAATTGTTGAACAGTATGCCGAGGCAAATTTGGTTATTATTTGCAGAAGAGTTTTGCTCTTATCAGAAATATCTTCCCCATAGGAATAGAGCAATGATTGGAATTGAGATATCATTAAATTTACTCTGGTCTACGATATAAAAGAATATTAACCTTCATTCAAATGCTTCATATTTTTTGGTAATTTTACAAGCTTATTTATATTTAATCATCTTATATAATTAATACCTTTATACAATTTATTAATACCCACCTTAAGATCAGGCAAGCAATCCCTAATGTGATGCATGAGAAGTCGATTTAAAGTTTTTGCTAAGTAGGGTGTGCCATTTCTTGTAGCTAAGGTAGGATATTTTGTTTGTAAAAATGTTGCTTCATCTTTTAATGACTCCTTTATACTCTTATTGTTAATAATATCCTGCTGAGATCTATTTACAACTCCTATAATACCCAACTTAACAGGTATTACTCGGCCACAAAGAATATCAATTGCATCAGTACCAGCATCCATTAAATCTAACTTTGTTACAACCGCTAAGGTTCTCCGTCCATCTGGATCTACATCTTTGGCGATTGCCAAACTCTCTGATGTAGCCATATCAGTGTTTGCAGTAACAACTGCTAATATTATTGAATTTGGGTTTGCTATGTATTTTGTTACTAGTTCCCGTATTTGCTGCTCAATGTCGGCAGGTTGGTCACCCACTGGAACCTGCCAGAGGTAACATAAGACATTTTTAATAAAAATTATAAAAACTCACCTTTGTTATTCCAGGCAAATCAACTAAAGTCAAATTTACAACTTTCGTGGAGTAAATTTTAAGATTGATAGGTTCGGGACAAATTCCTTTGTTACTTCCAGCAATACGATTGGTTTCTTCTTCAATCTCCTGCCTGATATCCTGAAATTCTCGAAAGATCTTGTCTTTGGCATGTAGGAATACTCCCCAATCTTCCAATTCAATAGTTCCTGAAAATTGGAAAGATATTTAGATTTGTTAATTCATTAACAGTTCAACACCTACCATCCTTGGCATTTCTATGTTCTTTGTCTTCTTTTGGACAATATACTAATTGTAAAATTAAAGGTCTCCTTGTAACAATACCGGTACCGCGAGGCAAAAACGACTTGCCCACCAAACTTTCTATTACTGAACTTTTTCCGGAACTCTATTGAATAGGTTATGTCATTTAGTAAACATTTAGCTAAAGTTAAGCATCTCATACCTGTGATCCAAGAACGACGATTTGAGGCAAATGAATGGAATCAGATCCCACTGTATTAAAGACATCTTGCAACTTATTTATGACGGGAATAAGGGCCTCCATTATTCAAAAAAATAATCAGAGTAAGCCACAAACTGCCATAAAATTATTCGGACCACAGAACGGATAAATGTCAATTAAGGTGATCAACATCACAGAGTAATAGGTTTTTACTCCATAGTTTTCTATGGTCCAATATTCTTTTTTTCTTTAATGCTGAAGGTCGCCAGGATAAGTTTTTGTCATGATTCATTCTTTTATTTATTTCTTATAATTATGCGGCATATGGCAAAAAAATTGTTAATTTTTGGGGACTTGTGACTCCAAAAGAATTCATGGAAAAGTCTGAAGGAAATCACAGATCTCAAAAACTTTCTAGATATTTCAATATATTTCGGTGACATAAACTGAGTCTTATTTACTTCTTAAGGAATATGCACTTATTACACAAACAAGAATATTGTCCAAAATTTTTAAAATACCTATGCTAGTCATTATTTTGTGATAAAGTTAAGAGTAATCCTCTTGGTCATCATTGGAAGTCAAAGCTAGAGATTGAGCTTGCTGTGCAGCTGCTTGAAGCTGTTCCCACTGTTGCTGATCTGCATAAGCTTGCTCTTGACGGGCCTTTGCAAACAATTCTTGCTGCTGTCTCAGAAGTTCTTCTTCAGGGATACCTAAATTTTCTAATCGTGTACTTTGTCTACGTCGCTTCGCTGCTACCGCTTTACAATCTTTCAATACAGCTTCTGCTTCGGCATGATAGTCACTAAATCCCAATTTATCAAGGGCTAAAAAAATTAGTCCTTATTGAACAATGAAATTCAATTGATTCAAAAAGCACTTACCCATTAACACATGTTCGGCATTGATGGTTTTTTTATGAAGTTGGTTGCAGATATCGTTTGCCTCAGAACTAAGAAGGTGGATGAATTCTGTGCAACAATTTAAAACCAATTCCCGAGCTTCATTAGCTATTCGAACAGATGGAACTAGTTCTTTAATCATTTTATTTATGCTCGCTCGTGGGAGTGTTAGCTCATCATCTTCGGTATTTCCGGACAATTCGGATGACCTAGTTGAATTTGCCATTAAAATGTAAATTCCTGAATACTCTCAAAATAAAAAGAGGTTATAACCATAGAAAAAAGTTTTGAAATTTAGTTTTTTCGTGGTTGTATTGAGTCAGTTTTTAAATGGGCGAAAATTCGTCCCAAAAAGTGTTTAACTAAAACTTGCAGTTCAAGCTATAAGCTCTTGTTTTGTTAAACTTTGCTTAATTTAGTTAAGAGAAAATGCTAATTCTATTATCTATGAATATAACCTCCCTAGGTTTAAAAGTTATTAGTTATTTCGTATATTATCATAACTTTTTAATGTATTAAGAAGCAGTTTCGCAGACGATACAAGCAGTTACTTATGACTACAATTTTGGATACTTGCTTTTCTGGGCTAAAATAAAATTCCTGGTTTTTGCACATGAATTGGCCGGTGAGAGTTAAGTAGTTTGGATGATCAAATTTGAGTACTGATTCTTTTTTTAGATATATAATTATGAACTTATCTGTGGAGAAATATGACGATAAAATAAAAAATGTGAAGAATTATGCCGCATTGGTTTAGTTATATTACAGAATCAAGCTGCAAAGGAAAGTAAGTGGCTTCCTTCCTAATTCCTAATGGGTAACTCAAAGTCCTTTGCTATGTACATAGTTGCCTCAGATTTGTCAAAGTTAAGTTGATTTTGTTTTTGCATCTAATTTGTGTTAGGATAGGGCAATATTCTCCTAAAAACTTATTCTTGCTTCAGTGCAAGCTGTCAATAATATATGTGATATACTTCCTCTGCTGCTATTAAGCTTACTATAATTATTATCACAATAATACAACTTTTCACTTGCTCAAATCTTAAATTAAATTCTGTCACGCTATAACACAATGTGAAAATATGGAACAGGGAATTCTACAAGACACATATTTATCATTCCTTTTTATATGGTTGCAGAAAAAATAAATTATTTCTTTATTCCTACTCCACTAGGGTGAAGTTTTATTTCCCGCACTATTTACACAACTGCACTGACAGGCTCAATGGAAGGCCATCGCATTTAAAATCATTAAGACAGGCTCTGAAATTCTGTTTAGAAACAGTAATACCAAGTAGAAATTAGTGCACATAGATGCTATAGTTTAATTTTCTTGGTTGTGTGTTTTCCTTTTATTGGAAAGGCTCAAACTCGTGTCAAAAATTCTTTTGCTTTTTCCCAACAGTTAAAATGGAAAACAAAATATCGAAGAAGGTGGACAGTAAGGAGACATATTGTAACTTGCCTGCAGGTGTTAGCGGAGACCCTGCTTCTAATTGTGATAGTAAAGATATACCAAAAGACGTAAATGTGCCAGAAAATGGAAGTAAAATCAAAATAGACATTGGTCAGAAAGGAAAAAGAGGGAGACCCAGAAAAAAAACTCTAGATCTTAAAGCCGACAATATTGACAGAGATTCATTAATAACAGGTAGGTAGAAAGTAAAATTTTAAATTTTATTTGAAGTTTGGATGTCATATATCCCAAATTTTGACATGCTTTACAATCTGTCTACTGATGTGGAGGGTGAGTCTATTTTTCGATACTAACAAAATTATCTAGGGCTTACTTGATTTTTTTCTGAATTATTATCAATTTTGAACACTGAACATATTCCTGTTTGTTATTTACTCTATCAGATAGACAAAAACGCTGGTGGGAAATATTTTGACCTAGACTGAACTAATAGTCATTAAATATTAATGATAAAATAAATATTTGCAAGTGCACTATGTTTATTATCAACTTTTTTTTAAGTAATTTTTTTGAATGCCAGTATGTGAAAGTAGATCACAGAATATAAAATATATATATATATATATATATATATATATATATATATATATATATATATATATATATATATATATATATATATATATATATATATATATATATATATATATATATATATATATATATATATATATATATATATATATATATATATATTATGAGAAACTGAATCTATTATGCAACCGCAATTCCTTTTCCCTGACCACATTTATAAGATAAAAAAAGTGTATTAATTTCAAATATAAATTAAACAAAATGATTTTAGACTCTTTAAAAATTAGATAAAAACTGATGTTTTTTTGGTATTTTTTTAAAACTATATGTTTCTTCCAAAATATTCGTGGCGTTGTAATAAAACGAATAATCCCTTGATTAGGAAAACGTTTTTCCCAAAAATGCACTCATCTTTGCAAGTTTCTATATCTTCGGTTCTTAACAAACAACCACTGATTGTGGTAGGTTTTGCTACGATTTCAAAATTGAAGAAATTTTTAGATGTTAATACTACTGTCACTAAAAGTCCCGACATAACTATTAAAAAGAAAAGAGGTAGACCGAGAAAAAATTCGCCTTTAGAAATAAAAATTGAATCATCATCAACTTCTACGGAAAGCACATGTGATCCGACAGAGAGGAAAGGTAGGTTCATTAAAAACGAAGTTGTTGAGTCCGACTTGGAAATGGAAGAAACAGTGATGTCAACCTCAAGTAGAGGTAGGAAACGTAGAGAATTGGATTATTCAGTTCTGGACAGCGATTCTTCCGTTTCTATTGATGATCAGCCAACAAAAAAAAGAAAAAAAATCCATATGATTCTACCTCATAAGACAAAATGCGCAAAAGGTGACGTTTCCCGTGAAATGGATGAATCCGATCCTTTGGAAATAAATAGCATTGTGGATACAGGCGAAGGCGCTGGCAATGTAGAAATTACAAATCAAAATAAATCTAGGTACAGTTTTACGGGTAATACTACAAAAATGTTAAAGCAGGTGTTTCAAGCAGCTCAGGGTACCTCTAAGGAATGCAGGTGAGATGTTCGTGTCATTTCTGCACTTTGGAACGCACAACATAATGGATTTTGTGCTATGTAGGCTCGAAAGCTATTATACACAATACGTTTGTTAGCCTCTAAACGTTGGAAATTTTTAAGACCTTTAAAAATAAAGTTGTAATTAAATTGTCAATGAATAAGACGCGTGATGCTTTGTATTGGAATTTTTTTATTATTCTATGTTTCGAGTTTTAATGAATAGTCAGTTATTATAAGTACAAAAATTTCCAAACATAACCAGAATTTGGGTAGAGAGCCACCAAAAGTGAACAGAAAACATGTTTTCAAAGTTTTGCAAATCCAAATTCCCAACATCTTGATTACATTTTAATATTGGGTTAATATAGAGCAAATTATCTTCATTTAAAGGACCACTGGCATCTGTGCAATATGACCGTTCCAAAGTGCAAAAAATAAATAAATATCCATTTTGATTGGGTTTGACTTTAATTTCTTAACAGTGATGATTCGTTTGGAGTAAAAGAAAACGACCGGGAAAATAATAGGTAAAGGGATACCCATTACAATTTGAGAGTAATCTTGGTTCTTTTAGTGATATAAAATCCCCTGCCGAAGGTGGTCCAGTTATTTGTATGGTATGTAACCAAACCATCGACTGGTCGGAATGGTCATATCACAAACAAAAAATTCATCACAACTTGGCTTGGCGGAACGGAGAAACCCCCATAGATATTCACAACTTCAAAGTTGTTATGGCTACTCTAAGAAATTTATTGAAGCAGCAAAATAAACTAAAGTGCCATAGGTGTGGAGAGAAAAGCACCCTTGCGAAGAAGTTTTATGATCATCTGGAGCTTTGCACCGGAGCTGTTACCGCTACGGGCAAAGTAACATGCGCTGTTTGCAAGAAAGTGTTGACGAAACAAGAATGGCCTTATCATAAGTATAAGTTGCATAATAATTTAGCTTGGCGAGTAGGAGATATTCCATTGGTAAGGAATTTGGTTGTCTTACTTTCTTGTTTTTTTAGCTTATATCCTTTTAAAGATTCTTAAAAAAAAAACTCACTTTTTGATATTTAAAACTGTATTTTAAAACTAGGATTAAAATATTTTTGTGTGTTCAGGTTTGTAATCCAAATTTTTATAAGAAGACAGTTAAGTTCTAAAAGGCAGCAAAAAATATAATTGTGACCCGTATATAATATGTGGTATTTGTATCAGA